ATGGGCAACCAAAACCGGCGCACGAAAGTGCATGGTTAATGGTTGTAAAAACTGAAACTATATATATCGGGTAACGGAAAAGCAGGAGCAAGTAACGAATTTCAACGCATCGAGTATAAAATAATTGCGCAAGTAACTTCGCACCGTTGTAATTTACTTAAACAGATAGAGCACAGTGATTAAGCCAGTGGCACCTATTTAGGAGGAAATAAAAAGATTCAAGGTTTGTATGATTCGAAGAAAACTGTCAGCAGTTCTTCGATATCTTAACCGAATTTTCATGAGTTCCACCAGCAAACCAGCGTCAAGAACAGAAATTGCGTGAATGAAGGAGACCCACGGGTTTATGAGTTATCAGGGCATGTGAACTAGCAGGTGACGGGTCATTCTCACCAACATTAGTCTATGATCGCCTATGTAGGTCGGCAATCGAAAGCACTTTATTACCCGTTGAATTGAAATAATCAATGTGCCCAATTGAAAGCAGTAACGATTGTGTACTACATAACACTACTTATTTATTATAAGCTCGGGTATGATGCATCGAAGAAGGCGAGACTCAGGTATACGAGGACGAAGTTATTCGACTGAGAATGAGTAAATCATATGGCTAACTAGGACGGTAACCATTAGTGGTAAGGACAACCAACCAAAAACATAACATTCAAGGAAAAGTGGATTAGATGCATTTACATTTGGGATGGAAAATGTTGATTCATGGCTTCCAATGAGGGTTAAGAGAACAAAAGCAAACGGTCAAGCTTCTTGGAAAAGAAAATATACAGTTACTTTACCTTATAGTTACCAAGGGACATGATTGACGGCTGCGGCAAATGAGCGATGTTTACGTGTCCCTAAACATCCTCGTAATGCTTAAAGAAATGACAAACAGGTGAACAAGCCCGTTTGATCGGTTTGCCATCATACTGATATTGCAAATTGAACGGAGCACTGTTGCACTTCGGGTGTTTATTTCGTTCGAACAATCTTATTAAGGAGTTTTATCTACTTATGACCCGTTTATGACGAATAGGGTCAACAAAATTCATGTCTATACAAATTGTTTCTGGAAAGGCGAAAGAGGTCATGTAAACAGATTCTCGTCAGATATTCTGTAGAGAGAAAACAAGACTTGAATGCCATTCACGAATGTTGGTTTCATTTAGCAAGTTTAAAAACTACAATATCCACCCACCCTAGCAACTCTAATCTGATCTAACAATTCTAATGTGGATGGGTACGACCTACGTCGGCACAGCAGAGTGACAATAACGTAAATGGGTTGTTGAACATATTTCAAGTTAGGTCCAAAGTCAGACGACGCGATCGAGGTCAAGTCCGCTACATAGAAATGACGGCCGAACCTACAAGTCCGCGCTATTAGTCAAAGCTCAAAATATTCTGATGACGCGACATCAAATCGACCTCAACATTTGGCTCTGAATTGTCTAGTTTCGCTGAGGAAGCGCTGCAAGTAACTGTTATTCGGGAAAATATTGCGTGTAAACTTACCATTTAGTTATGATAAATAAGAAACAGCCTTGAGGTATCGAGTGGCGAACTGCATGCAATAATTCTAATTCTGCGTGAAAAGTTGATTTACAGCTAGTAAAAGGGACTGAATTCTATTAATTATCAATCAATGCGAGACAATGAATGGTAGTAGTAATAGTAAGGGGCATAAATGAGCCGTAACCAAACTGCTGTTTGATAATAAGAGTAGAGAAGCATACCTTGATGTCGGCGCCCGATAGTTCATCTTTTGATGTCACATATTCCTCCATGTTGACATCCTCCGCTAGGGTCATGCGACTGGTGTGTATGCTGAATATTCTTCGCTTGGTCTTTTCATCTGGCAAAGGAAATTCAATCTTTCGATCGATGCGACCGGGTCGAATTAAAGCGGGATCCAATGTTTCGATTCGGTTTGTTGCCATAATAACTTTTACGTCACCGCGGGAATCAAAACCATCCAATTGATTCAGAAGTTCGAGCATAGTGCGCTGAATCTCTCGCTCTCCTCCTGAGTTGGACTCATATCTAGAAAACAAGATCATAGACTCCAGTAGTTATTGAAGTGGGCTAGCAGAATAAACTAATAAACCGGAATTCCTATACATGCAGCAGCTGTCAGTGTGCACGCATCGTCCGAGTAGTGCCTCACATTTTTTAATTACTCATTTGTGTTGTGAGCAGCAGAAGGGGCTAACCTCATAGTCACGAATATCTGCTGCTCCGTTATGGAAAACGGTAACCTAAGCCCCGGGACTTGGAGTGGTGAACTACATAAGGCCCCGCTAGGTTAGGTGTGGTACTGAACCGAGTGACAGCAGGGCTTCCTACCACCGAAGGTAAGTCCAGTGCGAGGACCGAGTTATACATAGTTATTGATATGAAGCTGATCATTTGAGGTATACCCCATGAAAATAGGCTACTCGCATAACTTTCCTTGACTTGGAAAAGTCGTTTAAATGGGTCGTATTCTAAGTCGTGATGGGAACCTCGGGATCAATCAAATGATACATTCGGTAATATGATTAAGTGCAGTGCGAGTCAGTTTCGGACTAGCGCAAGGATTTGATTGCGAATGCCCCAAGAAGATTTACCTGCCTTGACCTGGGCAACCCTTCAATATTCCGCCCACATGCAAATCACGGAACTTTTTCTTTTAATAAAGAATACTGTATCATGATTTGTTTGGCGCACAGTCTGGACTCACAGAGTATTTCGTATTTCATACACATTTAAGTACTCCTGAGTAGCGTTATGATTACTAAATCTTCGGATTTCTGGCATCCCATGTGCCTATTGTCTCGAAATTCATATATGCAAACAGTACGTTTGATGCCACAATTATGGTTTGGGTATTTGTAGATTTTCATATAAATGTTGATTTAAAAACTTTCATCACCGTTGGGGACTCAACAGCACACCAAATGATGCTCCGGATTTCGTGCATCATCGACCCTATTGCCCTATTCTTGCACACACCCCTCGACTTCGTCCGCTGTCTTTCTGTTCCAATTTACTCGCATTTAATAAACTTCGTTTAACTTTGGTATTGTATGTGTATTTCGCGCCTGTCTGAGGCCTGTGTGCCAAAAAATCATGATACCGCATTTTGACACCCTATGGTTCTATTTTACAAGTGTACTGAGTTTTATCCATTCCGTGGTGCATCCTCTCTGAATTAGAATTTACTTTCTGTTATCGATTTGCTCACCCGTCTGCCGAGCCAACCTCGTTCCTACCAGTGGAGTCATGGACTGTTACTGTTAACCGATATTTTGGTTGCTTACCGAGCAATTAGTTATAAGAGTACAACTTTAGCAAGATCAGCGGTAGAGCTCGAGGATATGGTGGGTTCACCTCNCCCCTTGGAGGGATCCATTGTTCGACAAGGTTTTCCAGAAGAGGCGAATGAACCGAAAATTGGCCGCTGGCTCATCTGGAACATTACTGATGCCTTGCAGTCCGCGCTTGGTAGCGCAAAGGCTAGATGGCACTCTCGAACAATACCTACTCTGGACTGAGCGACCGAGCAACACAACCATAAACCTTTCTTTTATGACTATGCGCTCCGAAGCTTCTACATCAAACGAAAAAAATCGACACGTTACATACCCTTGTGTTTTACCAACCTTCCTCTATTTCGCCTTTACCCCCTGACATAACTCCATTTCTCTCGGGTTCTTCAGACCATCGTACTGATATTAGTGCCTTGGGTGGAAATTCTACCGCTGTTCTCTTGTGTCCTACCTCGTTAACTGTCCAAGTCTCACCGAATCGTCCACCAGTAGAAGCCCTTCTCCGCCTCCCATGTCCGTTCAAACTAGCCACGTTTAATGATCGTCCTCTGATGCGTGTAGTGCAGCAGACGATTTTAGCTCGTACACTCGAGACTCTAGTCATCGATGTGTGTTGCATCCAAAAACTTGCATTGCTGCATTATCCTCTCGAAGACCCCTCCAACCAATCTGCGAAGTTTCATTTACGCCTCTCTGGGAACCGCGAGGTCGCAGCCTCGGATCTTGCTGGGGTTGGCGTGACCCTCAGTGAGAGCTTAAGTCACGCTTCTGGATTAGATCCCAGTAGACAGTAAGTTGTGTGCAGACGTTCGTGCAAAGTAAGCAGCCGTCGTCCCCGATAGACGAAACTTGTTGATTGTATCGACGTACGCTCCAACGGACTGCAGCCCAGATGCAGTCAAAGATGAATTTTACCAAAAATTACACTACGTCTGGCGTAAAACTAATCGGACTGATATCGTGATTTTAGCGGGAGATATGAATGCCAGAGTAGGCCTCGAATGAGGGCTTCGATGGCCTTCCCCAGTTATATTTAAAGATGGTAGGATAAATCATGTTAGAGAATTGATAGCTGTTCTCCAAAGTTTGACACAGAGCAAGTGNGGGGGGGGGGGGAGAATCGATTGTCACATATATCCACAAAAAGGACCACGCGGTGACTGCGCCGATCACAGGGGTATAAGCCTGATCCCAATAGCGTCAAAGCTGATGGCGTTCGTCACTCTTCGCCAATTGTACACTATACGAGAGGAGTAGGCTGGGTTTCACACTGATCAAATTTTTATCCTCTGACAGCTTCTAGAGCACCGTCATGCGTACCAAAGACCAACAATCATTGTGTTCTTAGACATCCGCGCGGCCTTCGACTCTGTTGGCAGGACCGCATTACGGACCTGTCTAATAAGGAATGGAGTACCAGAGAAGTGTTGATTCTCGAAGAGTTGTGTCGTTATTTCTTAGATCGGGTTAGGACCTATGAATAGCTTTCATCACCCTTCGCCGTCTCCAGTGGAGTTTGACAATGCTGCCCTATATCGTCATTCCTTTTAAACTTTGTAATGGAGGATATTTTTCAGAAAGATTTATCCCGTCTTGCAAACGATGGAATCAACCTCCTCCCGAGAAACAGAGCTCTTGACGATGGCATCGTCTTCTTTGGTGATAATACATGGGCAGAAAAGCCACTGAAAATGAAGGCCCACATTACACTGTCAACCATGGATGCAAATCGGCCTTCGAAGCGGAACTATCGGACCGTCTCTCAGCTCAACCATCAGTCGAAGGGTTAAGTGAACACTGGAAGGCAATCAAGGAAACTATCCAAATGTCAATCAAAACAACGACGGAATCTGGCATATCATCATCGTACAACCAGATACAGTAAGGCAAACTGCGCTGATCGCTGCCAGTCTCACAATGAACACAAGATGGAGACGGATTGGGCCTAATTGGGGGGAGGCAAAGAAAGTGCACCTCTGTTCAACACAGAGTACACAATCTAAGTGTGCATGCATATCTTTTCAAGCATTCTGCCCTGGTAGGAAATGACAACAAGAACGCCACTGCTGTCGGTTGATGACATCCTTCAGTGTCTCTAACCAGTTAATCGCAGTCTTTCGGACCCCAAGCCGGAAGACGGAGCCGCCGATTCTACCTAATCGCTCTGTGCATTTCTTCATGCTTTGCTTCAACGTGGTTTCTTCCACCTTTGAGCTGCAGCTGCGATAGGGCGCTGTGTGGCAGACGATGACTTGGCATGTGCAATACGTGTCCTAATCAGCGTAGCCGACTAATCTGGATTCGATGGGAAAACAAATCCTCTATTGAATCATTACCAAATACGCGACGATTTACCCCAGAGTTGCTTACAAGCTCGCTCCATCCAACCCGCGCCAAACTACGTGAACATCGGCAGTCGAGCGCTTCTAGACGACGAATATCTTACACGCGCAAATTTAGGGTCTCGCAACTATAAAGCAGAACTGACCGCGACCTTTCAGTTTCATTGAGACACCGCGTCTGTACCAAAGGTGTTCCAGTCCTGCATAAGCTACTCGAGCCTTGGAATTGGGGGCGTTTACTTTATTGACTATGCTACCGTCATTTGCCACGCAGCTACCTAAGAAAGCGAAACATTCCACCACAGCTAAGTACTGACCATCAAGCATCAGCGCTGGGGTAGACAACACCCAGTCTTGTAGCATCACTTTTCACTTCGCAGGTGTAAAGCGCATGCCGAAAGGAGTTACAGAAATTGAAAGTCTGTCAACAGAGCTTCGCGCATCCTTCATACATTCGAACAGGCAAACGATGTTGACCTCCGGTGCTGCATATCGGGTAAAACAATCTTTGACTATTCCCTGATGCAGAAGCTACCTCCATTTCATTAGCTTTTTTTGGTCCACCAATTTTTGCGATCCTGCTCAAGGCTTTTGCTGAGTTGACGTTGCAGGCGACACCGGTCCCTATGCTTATCTTAGCAGATCGGGATCTTTCGCTTTTGATCTATTAGGATTACTGACTCCTGAGAGACCCAAAGTATTCGGTGAACTTCGGGCTCGGTCCCACAAGCAAAGTTAGCTGCTGAGTGCATCGCAAATCTAATCTGATTTCACTGTTGGTCTACTCCACCATGTTGCGGTTCTCCTAGCTCCTGTCCCAGTTTCTTCTTATGACGTGCGCAGACGATGATGAGCTAACTGAGGAGGCGATTTCTACCGATGACCGATGAGTGACAGAACTAGTGCACGGTCCGAATCAACGCAAGTGGTCCAATAGGATCTTCAATTTAGTACTGAACCACACCAACGGTAGCTTACAGCTGTGGTCAATTTGGGTCAACGTTCCCAATGAACTAGAATACCATGTAGCAGTCCGACGAGAGCTGTGTTGAAAGTTGGTGTAAGAACAATCGATGATTCGCGGAGAACTGAAGTAGTCGATCACCGTTTTAAGGCAGTTCAGCTGGCCCCCGTCGACACAAGACCTACCGCTTCAACTGGACAAATACTGCAAGTTGACATCAATCCTCCATCTGAAATTGAGGTTACCCGGAAAGTAAATCGGTGATCATACCGATTTACAAGAAACGTGACAGATCCTCTTGTGAAGACCACATGGGAAGTAGTTTAATCAATATTTCTTCCTAACTTCTCGCTGGGGTCATACTCTGTAGATTGTCTGCCGCACATGAAGAGTCTACACGTCAGAACCAGGATGGTTTTACACCAGGCCGAGGTTGAACCGAC